GACCGAAGGTAAAGGCGAATTTACGATGGAATACTCTAGGTTTGTTTTCTTGCCAATCTCTCTTCTCAGAGTCGGCGAGGCCTAGGTAGTTTAGATATGCACCTACTAGCGAGCAATCTCAAAGTGGAGTTATCCGTGATTGGCAAGTCTCACAAGGTATAGAAGTGAGCTCAGAGAAAAACAAAAAGAGCCGAAGATAGCAGATGATAGTGATAATCATAAAACTTGTTATATTGTATAGTCGTAGATGATCCTCTCTTATTTCTAGATTATCTATAGTTTTAGGAGAATATGATGTTGCTTACTTTGCTCGTCATTGTTAGATTATATTTGTTATCCCCCATTTGTTATCCTGATGAATCGTTATTATGTGAAGCGTGCAGAAGATGTAAATAAATTATCATAACTTGCTTTTATTAACAAGCATTCCATCCAGCAAATTAATTCAGTTTCTTTTTCCATTACAAGGACCGCAAAAGGACAAAGTACATTCTTTCGATCATTGTCAGCAATGACAGTCGCGAAAAAGTTCTGGGAGAGAGCGCGGAGAAATCAACCTAAAGGGCTTCGAGAGGTCGAGGTCAGCTTAAGTCAGTTATCTCCTTTTGACTAGTCGAATAAATGTTCTGACAAAATCACAAATCCCAACTGTTCATCAACGACACCGTGCTATTTACAACTGTCTACCTTGAAACGTTGATCCCTCAAAAAGACATTGTGATGAGAAATTGATGATTTTTGGAATTCCGCATAGGATAAACCGCTTCCACTTTAGAAAGGTTTGGGAATTAAGATAAACATTCAGAAATAAGAAAATGATGTGAAGAGACAGTATTTGCATGCGGCACATGGATGTGGGCGTCTGTGTGAGTGTTAAATAGTTTTCAGCACTATAAAAGTTATTTTGTAATTTGGTGATGTTTTCTTACGAGACGATTTCCTTCGAAGTACGGAATGCGTTAAGATAGAATTGTTCTACTAGTTGAGTCAAAGGGTACATGAGAAGCGTTTTATGAGAGGAAAACGAATTTATGAAGAACGAAAGTGTTGGTCATGAAAATATTATACCTCTCGCAGGTCTCTTCGGTAAACTTAATTACAGAAAGTTTGGCGTATTTTATTTTTATAATGTAACATGCAGTTCTTAAGTTCCCTGTACGCATATTATTCTAAATTTGGTGCTCGGGAAGAACGATGAAGTAATCATTGCAAAGTTGAAGTTCTCGCACAAATGCTCATCACTTATTCCCTGGAATAAACTTAGGAGAGGTGTTAGTTGAGTAAGGACGCAGAAACCTATCGAATTCTGATTGAATAGTTTTCGAACGCTGGTGCATAATAAAATATTTGAGGAAATAAGTCAAATATAAGACCCATACTATTCTTCGAACACTAAAATATGGAAGCAATATGGGGATCCTCGAACATACAGCTGTTCAGATAGCGAGTAAATTGGCATTCGAGTATTCTATTGGCACATCTTGATAGATTTTTTTCTGAAAACCTGCTAAAAATTAAAACAATGACTTTAAGACGTTCTACATATTCTATATTAGCAAAGAAAATTTTACAAAAATGCAACAATGCAGAGCTATCTATTATCTTGAAATCATCTGTAATGCTAGGGTTTTCTTCAATTTGCGCTTCCGGCGTCATTCGGCTAAACATACATACAAATTGGAAGTACTTCCTACCATCGGTTGGAATCACTATTTATGTCTGATTAGTCTGTCTTTAAGCGGGAGAGATTGAGTATGTCAATCTCTCCCGCTTAAAGAGAGAATATGAGCATATTGGAACTGGATAAATAGTAATTTATTTGTATTCAGCTACAACAATATGTTGATTTCTCCTATTATTTTCGCCACATCGGCTCTTTCCTAATATTAATTCTCTTTGAAAGGATTTAACTCTTGGTACAAGTGCTAGAATCGAATTGTTCTGTTTGATAGAAGAAAGCGTGAGGATGTTTGGCGAAAAGAACAACTAAAAGTCTAGGATTTCTTGAAAATTTGAAACATGTTTGAAGTCGAGATGGTGGATATTGTAATAAAAGTAAGAATGCAGCTTGTTTCTTCTTCTCAGACAGAGTGGGAGCTTAGAATTTCTCCTCTGAAAACTCTCGTTTTATTGTTATGCTCAACATTGGAGAATATCATCTGCTTGGTTTCTCTTGCAAAAAGGTCTGAGCTCATAGTTAACGGGTGGGGCTCTAATGGCTCGTGGGCGTATAGTTGAAAGCGTCGAGTCTCTCCCTCAAAAAAAAAAAACTTCACCCACTTGAATAATC